TTTTTTTTTTTTAATCCGAATATTTAGAACATTTTTGGGTATGCAGTTTTATAGCCAAACCATTTAAGTCTAATCAAGTGCAAGTTTCAACCGACTAAAAAATCGCGTTGAGAATTTTTTGGAGGCCGCCTTGGCGTTTTTTTTTTTATATAGCAAGTGCAATTTACAAAAACTGGCGTTGATTTTTTCTCCCCCATTGTTTCTCGCAAGAAATTCATGTTTATATGGAAAAAAGTGCAATAATCCGTCATTAAAAAAAAATCTCAAATATCAACGGGATTTTTAAGCCGTTTGAAACTCGCACTTGTTTACACTAAAATTGTATTGGCTAAAAACTGCGTACCCAAAAATGTTCTAAAGATTGAGATTTAGAAGTTTTGATAAAAATATTTGTTAAATTGTCTTAAAATTTTAAATTTATAAGATAAAGCTTGGATAATATTCTTATAGAAAAATAACGAAAATATTTAACTCAAAAACATTATGAATATTTAATTTGAATATATTTATGAAATTTTATTTTTTTCTAAGTAAGTATTTATATACTTATATGTTCATATTCCGTACTAGTTTGCAGCTTTTCCCCATTTAGTTCCAATCTGTGCAATATTTCCCTCAGTGTACAATTTCAATTTCTCAAGCTGGAAGGCGATCGTCGGCGGTCTAATTCTTTGGCGAATTAAAAATATGCGTCAGTAGAGCAAGGAAAAATTGTGTGCTAAGCATTTAGTCGTAACTTAGCGTATCAACAGTTCAGAGCCTAAGCGAATCTTCAATTCGAACACGCACAGCATGAAACCGCTATTATGTAAGTAAAAAAAAAAATCGCCCGTTTTCAAATCTACAAATCAAAGCCAAAACTTTACCACAAAACATCTTTATAGTATTTGCCTTACTGGCCACGCTGGGTGCTAACCTCCCCTATACTTATGCCGCCACTGTAAGTAGCCAAGGTGATGCAACTGAACGCAATCTCTTCGCATCCGATATCTATCAAGCCGTCGCGCTGGATCATTTGGCTGAAAATGTCGTTATCTCACCTGCAGCCATACAAACCGCTATGGCCTTGGCTTTCTACGGTGCCAAAGGCCGCACTGCGACAGAAATTCAGGCAGGCATTCGCCTCGGTTCGGCTAATTCTGATGATGTGGTACGTCGTTTTAGCGCCTTCCAAAATACTT